CCCCCCCCCCCCCCCCCCCCCCACCGGGGGCTCTCAGGAACGGCGCGGGCTCCCTGGGCAGGGATCCAGACAGAACTAGATTAAAGCCACAGAAACGGAGCCGGAACAAGCCCCCCCATGAGCATCCGGGCCGGTCCCACCCCAGCAGCCGAGCTGAACCGGTTCTGTTCTGCTCCTCGACCTGGCCCCGTCGGAACGCACCCCGGGTCCGTTCAGCCCGCGGCCGAGGTCTGCCAGCAGCGGGCGCCGCGCAGGGACCCCTCTGGAAGGCGTCAAACAACCGCCTGCCGGGGGAAGGTGGACGCGAGCCATATCAAGTGGGGGTTGGAAGAGCAGGGCCTGGGGGGCAGCCCCTAATCTGGGATCTGCAAGACGTGCCCGGTTGCCGGATGCCCCCCACTGCCCCCTCTGTCCTGTGTTGCAGCCGGGAGACTTACAACGCGCTGACTAACTGGCTGACGGACGCCCGGACCCTCGCCAGTCCCAGCATCGTTATCATCCTCTGCGGGAACAAGAAGGACCTGGATGCGGACCGGGAAGTGACCTTCCTGGAAGCCTCCCGCTTTGCACAAGAGAACGGTACCGAGCCAGGGCTGCTCTGGGGGTCGTTAGCTTTGACTGTGACACGGTCCTGCCTGGCCCTTTCCCTGTGAGGGGGTGTTTCGGTCCCCTGCTTGCTTTGCCGTGGCACCAGGCCTCAGTGCTGCGCAAGTGTCCTGCGATCTCCCCGTCAGGCCAGGGCCAGCAGGGTACGGAGCTATGGAAAGTGGTGTGGGGGCAGGCAGGGCTGGCCCCAGGTGGTGCGGGGGGCTCGAGCTGGGGGCGCTCTCCCCCGGCAGGCAGCGCTTGCCCCAGGGGGGTGTTACGGGATGAGGGACTCGGCAGAGGCAGGATGGGGGGCTCGGCAGGGGCACTCTCCCCGGGCAGGCAGGGCTGGCCCCAGGACAGCGCTAGGGGGCACTGTGGGGCAGGGGGCTCGGCAGGGGGTGCTTTCCCCTGGCAGGCAGGGCTGTCCCCAGAGAAGTGCTAGGAGGTGGGGGACTTGGCAGGTGGTAGGGCGGGGGGCTTGGCAGGGGCACTCTCCCCCGGCAGGCAGGGCGGGCCCCAGAGCAGGTGCTGGGGGGCGCAGTGTTAGCAGGTGCTGTCTTTCCCATGAGCGGTAACACTGCAGTCCTGGCCACACCAGCATTAAAAGCCCGTGGTCCCAAAAGGGGTCATAGGCCCTGGGGTACCGCTCCAGCCCCATCCTGCCTACTTTAAATGTTACTTGGGGGGGAGGCGTTAGATGCATTCGGGCCCCTCGGGGTGGGCGGCGGAGCTCTGCAGAGCCCCGGGGCGAAGGGGGCTGGATGAAAACGGCGGGAGAGCTGCTAGGAGTCGCTCCCCGGCACTGGTGCTGTTTGGCCAGGAGGGGGAGCTCGGACTCTGTGGTTTGAACCCTGCATCAGACTGGATGTGCTGGGTCGGGTCCCGCTAGGGTGACCAGACAGCAAATGTGAAAAATTGGGACAGGGGATGGGGGGGTAATAGGAGCCTATATAAGCAAAAGACCCAAAAATCAGGACTGTCCCTATAAAAGCGGGACATCTGGTCACCCTAGGTCCCGCTGACGAGCAGCGTCTCCGTTCTGTGTGTAGCAGTGGCGCTGGGTCGGGCCCCGTTGTACGCAGG